TACAGACTTATTTAAGGGTATTTCAGTCACAGCATGAAGCTGGATTCTGAATAAGCCCCTTTCTGGTCGCTTGCTAGAAGAATATTCTGCAAATATTTTGTATAAAAAGAATGCACAAAACCTTTCTTTCTTGTACTCGATTAGTAGCAAATGACGTCTTCTTTAAATTGTATGCCAAAAAACGCTGTATTTCGGTTTCGAAAATGTTTCTAATTGCCGAATAATTATAAACCATACCATCCGCTAAACTTGAATTCAAGGTTTCCAAACTACTTACTGCATTGATTCGGTCTAATTAAAAGTACATATTTCCCTATGGCATGAGGAAAGGTTCACCTATTTAAATAAAGTTTGCGGTATATCTGAGTCAAGCTGTGTACTTTGTAGGCAACTTCAATACCTTGATGGATGCGATGTGTCCTGAATGCTTATTCCAGAGTCTTAAATAAGACTCATGATTAAAACGTTTTTGAATCCGAAGGATACCTTTGTTTAAAGTATACAATTTGAAGAAGGTGTAAGTTCAAGCCAATCGAGTACAAGATTTCTATAAAATCTGATTTAATTTACAACGGCAGTTAAAATCAATGGGGAACACTTAAATCGCCATTTTTTATAAAATATACTTTTGTAGGTGGTTAGAAACAGGATTGAACAAAAGGCAGCATCCACAGACCTGGGGGAAATCTCCCGAGATTAGGCTGTACAACCATCAGTGTTGCAATACCACTTAACTATTTTTTTTCGAATTATAGTGATATTAAAAAATTCCAGTTGACATTTCATGAGATAGGGAATCTAATGTAAGTCAGCGCCCCTTTTAAATGTGCGTTTTTTATCCTTTTGGATGTTCAAATGGTTTTTGGTTGTCACATTCTCATGGAAATATTCAGACGATTGTGATACTTCGATAACCAATGTGATGCGAATGCTTCCCATATACACCCAGTTAAAGTCCCAGATGGTGTTTAAGTAATGCTGCGTATAGTAGGTATAATCGTAATGCACCTCATTCTTCTCTGAAAGCTTATATGTCATATATTTAATTAAAGTTTTAAAATTTCCTACATATCAGGCTAAATATTTATTGTCTATTGCTGTAGAAGCATTGTTTTTTCTGTGCTTGTTGGTCTGGCCATTGTGAAGTCTCTGGTAAGTTAACGCTTTTCTTGTCCGTCATTTTTTACACTGGGTACAATGAAGCAGTCCGCGCCCATTAACATGAGCACTAATGCTCTCTTATAGGGTTTACCGGTGAACTAAAAATGACGTCAAAAAATCCATCTCCAAGACTCATTTCCATAGAGCCTTACCCCAATCATCCTGTCAGCTTACTGCCAAATTTTCATGCAGCTTCAAGTTTAAACACTTTAAAGAAACTGTTTACATTACAATAAAATTAGGAAAGAATTTTGTAGACATTTTATCACTGCTGCATTTTCTCAAAGTGTCACAAAACGTCGAATTACCTTTTTAAGATGCCTGTAAGCATCGCTGCTAGCATCTGATAAAATGCGCAACACAGTGATCTATCATTTACGTATTTTAATTGGACGCATAGTATCATCAAGTTATCAGGAAATTTTGTTAATTTAATTTAAAAAGCTGGCGACAATTTGTCCGCAAATGCTTCCTGCAAGAGAAAACGGGAAAAATCAAAACCATAGGTCAACTTACTTGCATGGCATTGAACAGAATCTGGTGCTCGTACTTCTTCACATTCAGAACGTTCTGAAACATATCGTAGAGATGTTCCTTTGTGAGTATTAGCTCTGGCTGTGGAAATTGCAGCTGCTGAATTGCTGCTGATGGTCCGACGCCACCTCTGCATATTTGGTCAAATTTTACAATCCAGGCGCTTATTATGTTTGCCTTATCAAGGCCTTCAATGTCTGGCAAACACTGTATCCGACATTCGATGTTTCGTCGAAACACTTCTCGGAAGTCGTGCATGGAGCAACCACCGCCCTTAACCATTGTGGATAACCGATCACTGCATAGAAAAATCTAAAAGGGTAAAATAGAGCCGTTATGGCCTCGACGGTAGCTAGTAATAACGAACCTTTCTAAAGGAGGTAACAGACTAGCATAGGACTAAACACAAAAACCAGACCGCAGAATCCTGTATACCATGACCAACGGTAATAGCAACTTATTTTAATCGTTGACATTTTTATGAACTTCTTTTGTTAACTTTATTATTTACTGTTTATTTACTTTCATTTATCACGCATCGTGCCGTTACTATTTATTACCATTTTATAGCATTTTTACCTACTATTTCCGTTTTCGTTCGATAAATTTCTTTTATTTTTTTCTTCTGCGGCCCCGTATATCCCCTAGTACTACCGACTACTTATTACAGAATTCTGGAGGTTTGACTCCCGTAATGAGCTCTATACAAGACTGTAACCATAAAAAACTATAGCAACTAGGTAACCAATATTATAAAATTTCTAAACTGCACATCCGAGTATTAATAAGAACAGTTAGCGTGCATTAGAAACATTTCGGTAAATTCTCGTCAGACCATTACATTTATAGGCGAATTTTAAAAATAATAGTCAGCTATGTGTCTCTTCCCAACACAAGTTTATTGTTTATCTTATATTTTTTCTACTAATTTGCTGTTGAAGCAATCTCGTGAACGATAGATAACAGTGAAGTTATTTTTATATTTCTAACTTCGTAGAATTTCATCCTCAAAGCTTATTAATAAAAAGTTAATGGTCTTCCAAAAAAGCGACATTTGTCAGGCCCTAAAAATAAAGTAGTTTTATTTAAAGAAGCATCTACTTCGCCTTTATATTAATTACACGTTAGAAGTAAAAGTCAGCAATAGGGTTTTTGTTAATTGTAAACCGGTGTGTGTGATGTTAGAAGTGGAAGGACAAAAAAATGCGACCAATGAATTACAGGGCAGACTGACCACTGTCTAGGTAGTCTGAATGCAGGCAATGTACGCGTAGTAATCAAAAAAAAATAAGTAAAATTGCTTATAGGGAAACCCAATCCAGCAAACTTCCCGACGAGCCAAGAGGAGTCCCCCATTCCCACAGCAGGATGCTTTAAACTGGCCACAGAGATACCTGCTTAGGACGGCTATTCTAATTCCCTTTGATCATAGACTTGAACAAAACTTTTCCCACTTATAGTTAGCAGTGCTTAGCACACCAGCCTGTGTTCTAGGTGAAACAATGGGTAGGTTTGATATCTTGAACGAATTTTTAATATAAAACCAAGAATAAACTATCTAGAAGGACGTGTATGTTTGTTGCTCGGCTTTCAGTAGCATAGGTTGAATAAAAATTTTAACAAGTAAAAACGAAAAGCTCCATTTCTGTTAAGGAGATGTGTGTTGACAATCAGTCAAGACATATTTTACAAGTAAGTTCCTGAAAATTCAAATTATATGGGAAAATATAGATGATGTATTAGCGAATTGGCTTGCAGTTTCATGCTATTCTGAGTTAACACAGCATCTATTATCCTTTTTTAAATGCTAAATTAGGCTTTTAAAGGATAAACACAAAATTCCGACATTTTTTGTTTCGGCGGTGGTTTAAAAGGCGTTTGCTACTGAATAAGTTGAGCCAATACGTCCGCCTCCTCTGATGCAAACACACTTGGTCAGTTTTAGTTTTCCAATTTCTGTTCTTTTCTATATTCACAGCATTAGACCTCTGGGTATCACGTTTTAGGTCATGGCGTCCAACATTGTCAGTAGTTCCTGTTGGTTAACTTGGCTATTCTTCTACTTTTTAATTTAAACGTAGCCACTTAGTAATTGTTTTTTGTTAAATATTATTTTACCAATAATTGCTGCCGCCTTAACCAGAACATAATTTAGGATTTTGTTAAAGTGCTCTTATGGAGTAGAACTTGCTCAATGCCTACAAATGCCTTACACAGGTGTATGACTGAAAGCCTTGCTCTAGTGTTTCCGAAAATACGTAATCCGAGTGACCAAACTGATTAATAGTAATTTTCCATGTGCAACCGGTCAGCTCAGTTTACGTTTGCCGTTACGTGGGGTCCTTATTAGCTTTAGACATCCAGTTAATCTTTTTTTCTGTGTTGCATAAATTAATTTTGATAACAAAAAGTTCCATTTAAGATAATAATGCTATGTTCCTCCATGTGAGAAACTTCCTATGTCAATAACTTTCACAAAAAGCACCTTTGTATACGCATGTTTTCAGAGCGGAAGATAAATAAGAAAGACTAGCTAAGTCAGTTTTGCCCTTTGAAATACGATTGCTATGACAGCATAAATATAGTAAGGAAATGCTAATTATCACATTATTTTCAAAGAAACAAAAAAATTCCTCTGCAAAACATTTACTTATTTAGCAGTTACAAAAAATAAGTTAAATTGAATGCAATTTAAGTGCATTTTGAATAAAGGTATCTGCGAAATATAGGTATGTATTATGAATGGCTGCCGCTCCAGCATCCACGCCAGAACACGGCTTCGACTTAGAAGGCGTGAGAATACTAGGTCAGTTGAACGATCGAGTCTCACGCCTGCTGCAGTAGGCATCGCACTCGCACGCGGATTCTGTTAATAGGCATATTGATCTTCCTGATGACCATCTGGCGTTGCGATACAAATCGATGGCAGAGCTCAAAGCCACTCCCGACAGAGCTGAGCTAAATAGACAGTGAGCTGTACATTTTTTATTCCCCGGAAATGGGCTCGCATGAGAGTTTGAAGCATCGGGCAAATAAATAATTGTTCCCAGAGAACGTTTTTCTGTCTCCTACAAGTATTTATGCAATATAAGTGTGTTTATTGTCTTTTCATGCCTATTATTTGTAGACGTGTGCGAATAGCTGACAAGTAATCACAAAATGTTTCATCATGTATTGTGTCTCGCAGTTGATAACCAAATAAAAGTGGGCGATAGATAGCAGTGCTTGAGATGAGTACTCGTGAAATTTTGTAGGCTGAATTTACGTGCGTAGTGCGGTATATATTTGCTGCTGTTGCTCTCGTCCGTTGAACGGATGTGAGTTTCAGAATCCTTGAACTATGCGAAAGACTGGTACTCGTTCTCCAATCTTCATTGAGTAAGGTTGTTATACTGATTATCGCTTAGTATATCCTGAAGTCATTATTAGTCACGATAGGATGCCGGCTTTTAACGAGCTTATTGTTGATCGCTAGTAAAACGTTTGTACCGTAAAAAGTACCTACCTAGGTAGTATGCATTTTAATCATTCAATTTGACTGCCTTTATAAATTCAAACATGTTTTATGGAAAACATATGCGGATAAATTAATTCTTGTACTCGTTTGGGCGATAATCACGCCTTCTTTAAATTGTATAGTTAAAGAAAGGGTACCTTTCGATTTTAAAAAGTTCCTAAATGGCCGAATAATTTTTAAATCTACTGACTACTAAACTTGAATTTAAGGTTTCAGGCTGCATGCTGTTTACATCCTATTTAAGGAAAATTGTTTCTTCGCCTAGGGCTTGAGGAAGAAATCACATTCTTCTCATAAAGTATTGCTACACATGTGGAACACCCTGTATACATTATAGGCAGCATTAATAAATCGATGGGTGTGATGTTTAATGAAAACTTCACAATCGATAAAAAGCTCATAATTAGAAACACTTTTTTTAAAACCGAAATATACCCGTTCTTTAAGCATAAAGTTTGAAGAAGGCGTAATTTTCTACAAAACGGGTACAAGAAAG